CCAGCCCTGAGCCCTCTCCCAGAGCCAGCACCCCATATCTCCTCCTGTACCGTAAACCCCCTCCCACACCTCTGCCCCAGCCATGAGCCCCCTCCTGGAGCTAGCACCCGTACTCCTTCCTGCACCCCAACACTCTGCCCCAGCCCGGAGCCCCCTCCTGCACCCAAACTCCCTCCCGGAGCTTGCACCCCTCATCCCCTCCTGCACCTCTGCCCAAGGCTCAGCCCGGAGCCTCCTCCCACATTACGAACCCCTCAGCTCCAACCGGAGCCCGCACCCCTTCCTGCACCCCAACCCCCTGCCCCAGCCCTGTGAAAGTGAGTGAGGGTGGGGGAGAGCAAGCAATGGAGGGAGGGGGAATGGAGTGAGCAGGACGGAGCCTCGGGGAAGGGGCGGGGTAGATCTTGGGTTGCACTTAAATTCAAAAATTGATGTTGTGCATAATAAGGTTGGAGACCACTGACCTAGAATGTTACAATGAAGAAAGCAAGTATAGATAATTCTGGAGTCTAGTCCTTTGAATTGTTACCCGAGAAAAATGGGATTTCTGCATCTTTCAGTCTAGTTTATAATAATTCTTCATTTAGTCCAAATGCTTTAGTACCCAATTCAAATTGCTTGGTATTCCAGCTGCATCAGAATGTAAACATATATAAATGAGTTGCTCAGCAGTAGTAGTATCTGTTTATTATGTTATGCCAAGCTCAATAGTCGGGTTTCTAGAAAATTTAGAGAGAGAACTACTCTTTCACAGTCAAACCACTTAACTGAATTTTTGCCTGACTTAGCCCTGTTGGGTTTACATCACAAACAATTTGTACTAATGTGTGTGTGTGTGTGTGGTTTTTTTTAAACCAGTACCTCATCTCTCTGACTTCTTATAATGATGTATTGTTCATATCTAATTTAAAATATTCACAATGAACAACTCAATTTCTTTCACCGCTAATTGTATTCCATTTCTTTATAGGATATGCAGGTAACTGGAGTAGAAGATGACAGCAGAGCTCTGAATATAATAATTCACAAACCTGCATCTAGTCCGCATTCTAAGCCCTTCCCCATTCTCCAAGCCACATTTATTTTTTCTGATCACATTCGCTGTATCATTGCGAAGCAGCGTTTGGCAAAGGGCCGCATCCAAGCTCGACGTATGAAAATGCAGAGAATTGCGGGTAAGCAGATGCCTTAAAATGTTTCTCTTTGAAGTGGGAAACGTGTCTCATGACAATTCAGTGTAAGATCTGCTCTTGTATGTCTTCTAAAGCATCTGAAATACTGCATCCCAGGAGAGGAATCTTGAAACCAGTGTCCAGTTTCTAAACAATAGATCTTAACAATATCTTCCTGTTATAGCAAAATGCATATTCATATATGATAACGTCTGCCCCAGCCTGGAGGAGGAGAGGGAGAGTGAATGAACCACATGTTAGTGTTGCCCAATTCACTAATGGAAGGTACTCAGATACTATGCTGATAAGGGCAGTATGAGAAGCTACATAGAATAGAATGTCAGCAGTTAAAATTTCTGAACTTTTATGCGTTAAGAGATGTAGGAAGGAGGGTTACCTATGTAGGTGGTTATCCATCAGGTAGGGATTGAATGTATAATAGCTAAGGCTTAAATCAGTGCAGCACCTGGTGAGGATTGGAACTAATCAGCTGAGTGAATGTATTAGGGGTGAGTGAATGGAAGAGGATGGAATATACAGGGAAAAGGGATGGGCAAGTGAGAAAGGAGACTGAACATCTTAGTTATTTGATTATTGGAGAGCATCAATCACTGTCTGGAATATCTGCTAACATAAAACAGAATATATAAAGAAAATCTGGAGTAGTATTAAAATTAGTGACTCAACTTCAGCTGAGAATTATTCAGTCTAGAGTTTTAAAATGAGTTTCTAATGTTTTAATGCTATGTGAAATATACTTATGCTTTGGTCCTGTGAATTATAACTGTGCAGTCTAATTCTTTGGTCTTCTTGATTTCTGGTATCTAAATTGAGAGTAAGTTAAGATCTTACATAGAAGTAGACCTAAAATAGTGTGGGTGGTCATGCAAACTGCAGATACTTGCTTACCTAAAGCAGATTACCTGTCTCCAAATGGCTTGGCCTCCTGCCGTGTACAAACATAACTAATGAATGACCTTGTTGATGGATATTTCTTACTGCGATACAAATTTTTGAAATGGCTTGCTCCATCACGTTTATGTAATGGAGACGTACTGCAAAAGGCCTTTTTCCTCCCTTAATAAATATTGTGGTTTCCCTGTATATACGTGAAAGGGAGTGGAGTTTGCAGTCACTTGTTGCCTTTTCTTCCCTATAATTACAGGGCAAAACAAGCAGCAAGCTATTTTTATTCAGAAGATGCAAGTATGAGCAAGTTATGTAGATTGATCTAAACTAGGCCCCTCCCAAGGTTTTGGGCAAGTTGGCAATGTAATTATCACATTAGATCGCCTTTTATAAATTTTTATTAACAAAAAATCAATTTGTTTAAATGTAGCTCTCCTGGATCTTCCTGTCCAGCCTTCAACTGAAGTGATGGGTTTTGGACACAGCTCTGCATCTGCATCACAGCACCTGCCATTTAGATTTTACGACCAGTCACGGCGTGGCAGCTGTGACCCTACTGTACAGCGATCTGTTTTTGCATCTGTTGACAAAGTCCCAGGTAAGACAGAACTTCTGATGAAGCAAGCTGCTTCTCCACGTCAGTCAAATATGTGAAACATGTGGCACAGCCTTTGCCTCTTGAACTTTTTGAGCAAAACCTCAACCCTCACCAAAATGTTTTTTTCTTTCAATATTATTCTTTTTAAACTATCTTGTTCTATTATACGTAACCTATCAAGAAGTGAAACCATTCTATTTTCAGATGTTAAATACAAGTAAGTTGTTTCTCTGAACCTAGGTCAGTGTGTCTCCTTAAATAAGATATATCTAATGGTTGGTATTTTGCCATCTGTCTTGTTTTCAGATTATAAATAGGTCTGTTCAAAAATTTCTTAGAATTACAACCTTGAAACTTCTTAGAAACACTCAACATGTTACTAATCAAGTTGTGGTAGTTTCATCAGTAGTACAAAATGACTAGTTCAGCAAGGTGTGGTTACCCAAAAACACTGATTCTAAGGAAAAGATGACTGCACATTTTAATGCTAATGTTCTGTGGTGTAAGCTTAAGATAGGTAAGATCCAAGCCTTTCAGAGCTCAGTTTCTAAAAATGCAAAGCCTTTCAAAGCTCAGTTTCTAAAAGTTGGTTTACAAGTTCGAGGCTGATTAGCCCAAACATTAGTCAATATATTGTAGAAAATGCTCTTGCAAGTGACAGAGAAGCACAAGCTAACCTGATAAGTCTCTCCACCTCCAACTTGTGATGTGAAGGTGCTTGTGCAGATGGGTATGTACTGGATACCTGAATAATTAGTTAAAAAGTAGCAGCCGTGTTAGTCTGTATCCGCAAAAAGAACAGGAGTACTCCTGTTCTTTTTGTGAATAATTAGTGCTATCCGGTACTTATACGAACGCTTTTTATATAGTTTATAATAGTATCATATTGTCCTAAATTAGTTGCTTTTTTTATAATGCAGTAGAGATGTCTGTCAAATGACTATTGGTACAACTTTAAAATATGTTAAAATTGCTTGGTGACAAGTCTAAGTATTTGGCCTCCAGTTCCAAATGATTCAAAGCTCACTGTGTCACTGGGAACAGTAGATAGAAAAAATTGGGCTAAACTCAAATGTAGAGATCGAAAGCTTCTGAGCACAGATACACTCCAGGATGAGTCTCTAGGACGAGTTGTTTAGTTAAGCAATATGTCATAACAGGAGGTGAATAAGTAGCTTCTTGGTGCATGCCTCAGTTGTGTTGTGAACAAGATGCCAAAGGTACCGTCTTCAAGTACCGAAGTAGTATACTAGGTCTTCTAGTACACACCCTGTCAGGTATTACTGCTGTTGGAGTATGGGTCACTTAATGTCACATGTCTTTTAAAAATCACATATCTTGTTCACTCTCAAGAGCTCCTTGTGATACAGAGGTTATAAATAGCTTTTCTCAACTATTATGTGAAATCGGGCTAGTGAACAGAGAACTACTTCTTTAGTATGGAAATAGCAACATTTATAAGTTAATAGAAAGGTTTGAAATCCATTTGAGGGCTTCAGGAGATGTAGAGTGCACCTTTGCAATACCTCCTGGAAATGAAAAGATGGGGCACCTGTTCACAATGTATTCAGGGGTTTGGAGGTTGCTGCATTCATACTGTGGCGAATCTTTGATTCTCCATTTTTGCATCAGGTATTCAATGTTGGGATCATCTGGGAGGTGCTTTTTGTTTACTTCAGAGCCTGCCTATTGCACTCACCAGGTGTCTTCTGGGAAGGCGTTGGATAACAGAAGAGCTTCTTCAGCTGCCCAGAATGGTTGGTGGGACTTAAAGCTAGTGTGAGGTGGATGAGTGTGAGGTGGATGAGCGAGAGCTTTCTTGTACCCGTGCAAGATAGCCATCTCTTGACAGATGGTTGGAGGAAGGATGTTTGCGAGGACTGGAAGCCAAGGCAGTAGAATGGACTTCAGATTCATAGCTGTATTTAGCTGGATATCAGTGAGGTCCATGTGTGACCTTCTTCCCCAAACAAGTGTGCAGTATTTAGCCGTGCAATAAATTAAAGCCACTTTTGCCATTTTGTAGCACATGAGCATCACAACACCAGCTAGAACCTGCTAGCTTTTGGATTATATTGATGCAACTAACAGAGAATTGAAACCATCAACCCTTGTTAATATGCTGGTGAGAGGACCAGTAAGGGTGTAACCAATGCAGATTATGCTGCTAGGTTACTGTTCGCCTATCACATCTGACTCAAGACTTCCATGCGAAAGGTGTGGTCAGAAAAGATGCCAAGATTCTGAAGGAGAGTAATCTCCTCTGAGTAGGTTCACTGAGTAAGATCGTTGTTATAAATTATCTCCCCAAGTAACAGTACTTCTGCAATGAGGGCAAGATAATCAATGCAAGTGGCTGACAGTATTGTCAGGCATTCCTAATAAATAGTTATAATTGGTAGAGACTGGAGACTGTTTCATTGTGTGCATGTGCAAAAATGGAAAAAAGCATTAACATTTAACATGGTGTCAAGTGTGCAAAATCAAACACTCAGACAGGAAATTTAAAATATTAAAGTTGCTTCCATGCAGTTCACTTGGCCATGGTGCACATTCTAAATGTTTTATGGGTGTTCATTACAATAGTCAATGATACAATGGGGTTCGTCTTTTCAAAAAGCAGTGGATATAACAAAGTATTAAAAATGCTACAATAAGTGTATTATGGCCAAGTTAACGTTATTGGAATTGCACGCTTCTCTTAGGGTTATAAGGCTAATGGTTTAATCTGACTTTTTTGGGGAGGAAATGAGCACCCATAGCTCCCATTGACTTCAGTAGAAACTGTGAGCGCTCATCTTTAGTGACTGACTGAAATGGAAGTTTAGACATAAAGCAGTTGAGTTATATTGTCCCTGTACTAGTCATTTTCTACTGTTGTATGTTTCAGTGCTATTAGAAACTGATATTCAGTACATGTATGCTGGTTGAGGCAGCAAAGTTCTCTTTATATTTTTAGAGAGCACAAGACTTGCCTCTTCTTTCAGACATGGATTCACAGAGTAAAATAGGCACACATTCTTATAAATATTCCTAGAATAGTAAACAGTTCCTTAGAAGAGCGAAGTGTTGTTATGCATAATACTGAGAGTTAAGTAATCTGCAGAAAATATGAAGCAATATGGTGTGGTGTTGCAGCATAGATTTTTAACAACAGTTAAATAGTCTAAATTAACATACTTCAGCTATTCCAGAAATATTTTTCCAAAATAACTAAAGGCACCAGTGTACAGGAAAATTCAGTTCATTATGTCTGCCTATTGTATGCCACCCATTCCATGTTCTCTACCATTAGTGCTACACAGCTAATATAGCTATTGTAAAGGAGTTAACGTCTCCTGTGCCTCACATATAAGCAAAATTGTCAACAAGGTTCTCATTGCGGAATCTTTATTGCTTGATGTAATCAGCAGAAAGAACTAGATTTATCAGGTCTGTTTGTGTTTAAATACACCAAAAAAATGCTGCCAGAGTAGCTTCCATGAAATTTTGCTTGGCACAGAATGTATTAGCTCAGTAGTTCATTTAATGTTAATATACTGAAAATAGAAGGCTAGGCCTGGACTGATATATTTTTGAACTCCTCTCTGCACTGGTACCTAAATATGGCTGTACCTGTAGTCGGGACCCATGTCCTGGGCAGAATGGTAGCAAGAACCACTGCTCTCTCCTGATCCCCTGCTATTCTGATCACATACATATCAAAGGGGCATAGAGGACTAAAGAGCTCTACCCTGTGCAGTTTAGGAGGCCTGGACAAGTGCTGGGACAATAGTCTAGTCAGAAGCTCTAGGTCCTTTGTCCACTGCTCCCTCTTAAATTGGAAGTGAAGGAAAGTTAAGTTCCTAATTTGCACAGAAGTAGGTCTTTTGTCCCTTCATGCCCTTGTTCATCTCCTGGCCTTCCAGAACCCTCCATCTCCCCTGAATACCAAAGTGTCAAGGGCCCATATACTCTGCATCAGGCTGCACCTGAACTCTGTAGCAGTCCCATGGGGCAAACCAGAAATTCTGTGGCAAAGCAGGTAAAGCCAAAAAGGAGAAAATTTGTGAATTAAAATCTGAAAAAATGTAGTCAGTAAAGAATTGGTGTTGGTATTTTTGTTAAGATGATCAGTGGGAAAATGGCTAATGGCATTTGAATGATTATGATTAGGCTATATAAATATATACACCTCTACCCCGATATAACATGAATTCGGATATAACGTAGTAAAGCAGCGCTCCGGGGGGAGGGGCGGGACTGCGCACTCCGATGGATCAAAGCAAGTTCGATGTAACGCGGTTTCACCTATAACGCGGTAAGATTTTTTGGCTCCTGAGGACAGCGTTCTATCGGGGTAGAGGGGTGTGTGTGTGTACACACACACACACACACACACCCTTCTCAGAGCTACTATTTAAAGCAGTCTGCAGATTTCACTGCATGAGTTACATTGTTCACCTTTTGAAGGGGTTCTTTAGCCCCTGCAGTTGTGAAGACCTAAATTTAGATGAAAACTTGAATTTTCAAGCACAATTAGGAGGCAACTTTAAAAAGAGCAGTTGAGACTATTTGTGTCACATTATATGTACACAGATTATGTACCTTATGTAATTACCTTATCTGAATAAGTCTTTTGTTCCAACTTGCTCTTACTGTTTTATGGAGCAACATTAAAGTTGCTTAAACAGTGTGTGTGGCAATGGTAGTTTGAAAGAAAAGGTACATGAAGGAGTACTGAAATTATTGTGTTTATGACGTGTATTACTCAAATACATATTGAAAGGTTTTTCTCAACACACATGATTCACCTGATGAATGGAGCATCTTTTATCAGAGAGAAAGAAGAACAAAATAATTCTGGGAAAGTGTTACTCAGTTGTCACAGGTTGTGGCCACTAATGTGCTAGGAGGGGTTTCTGGGAGTATGCTAAAATTTCTTCACCAAACTGTAGAGAACTTGGAGATCCTTTCGATGGCTGTCATGTTCATCACCTTCCTGGATACTGCTAAATCAT